GATAACATCAACAAGCTTCCGTCTACCTCAAATAACATTCCAGAGTTACTGAAAACTGCATAGGAGGAATTTGACATAAAATAGAAGGACCTGTCGTTGTAACGACAACAAGTTGAAATGTCAACTGTTTAAAACCATTCCTCAGCGCTGCGTTTTTAGGTTAAAAATGCTTAATGCGTGAATGCCTCCTAAATCTGCGCATGTGGTGAACATTTTGCTGTGAAGACTGGTCGCACAACAACAGTTTTATGCACTCGCACAAATGCTCCCAAATATATTTTGAGGTTGCATAAAATTGTGGGAGCATTTGCGACCAAAACGGTTGCAATTTCGAGACCTGATTTTCGTCACTTAAATTTCTAATAGTTTACCGCATATTAGAGCCTTGTGTTCCAGTTTTTTGTTTACTTGATGCATTTACATTTTTTTTACTTATTTTTTTTACTTACTTCATTTAAGTGAGTTCTCTGTTCAACCACACAGTGCAGTTCTAATGAATTGAAATGGATAGAAAATCAATTGGAATTGGAATTTTTATTTGTCTGCTGACTTTTTCAAGTTGCCAAAATAACATGACGCACATACCAGTACAAACTATTGCAATATATCACAATATTTATTGTATCGCAATATATCGGGATATATTGTATCGTGACCCATGTATCATGATATGTATCATATCATGAGGCCCTTGCCAATACACAGCCCTACTTCAGAGTGGTTCTGATCATTCATTTTCTTGTCGGCTTAGTCCAGGCTCGCCACAGCGGAATGAACCGCCAACTTATCCAGCAAGTTTTTACGCAGCGGATGCCCTTCCAGCCGCAACTATTCTGGGAAACATCCACACACACATTCATACACTACGGACAATTTAGCCTACCTACTTCACCTGTACCGCATGTCTTTGGACTGTAGGGAAAACCGGAGCACCCAAAGGAAACCCACGCAAAGGCAGGGAGAACATGCAAACTCCACACAGAAACACCAACTGAGCCGGGGTTCGAACCAGTGACCCAGCGACCTTCTTGCTGTGAGGCGACAGCACTACCTACTGCGCCACTGCCTCGCCCATTGTAGGGATTGATTTAATGATAATAACCAGCTGACGATACATTATTATCCTTCACATATTAAACAACTCTCTTTCTACTACAGTTCTTATGGCCGGACAACACCAAACACATTTACACACACAAATGTTTGCACCCTTGGCATAAATTGCAGTGTTTAAGGTGCAGGTCTCTTTAAGACTGGCCCTTTGTTTCTCTTCAGGCCTCTTTAAATGTGACGCAGCTTCCAATATAAAGCCGAACAAAGTGAGGAGAGCAGAACACAACCTCGGCAGACTAACAAACACACATACACACGCTAAAAGGATTAACACTCTTTATAAACTACCACTGCACCGAATCCCTGAGGGCTTATTTCTCTATTACACGTTGCACACAGAAAGCAAATGCTGATGTTTGCAACGCACCCACCATTCACTGTCATACAGTTACAGTTAAAAACCGTGCTCACAAGCAATTGTGGGCTGGACTGAGAGCAGACGTTCAGATAATGCACAGATAAATCTGACCACTCTATGAAACGGCGTCTCTCGGTTGTATCAGAGACAGACGGTCAGCTGAGGATGTTGGGGGTTTCGTGGGGAATGAGGTTTGAATGTTGGGAAATGCAAACGTAACATACAGAGACTGAGAGGATAATAAAATAACAATGTGAGGAGGACAATATGCTACATAATGTGTGTTTGTGTGTGTATATACACACACACACATATATGTAAATTGTTTAAAATATAACACTCACTTTAAGCTTAGTCCCTGATGTATAAAGGGTCACCACAGCAGAATGAACCGGCAATTATTCAGGTATGTATGTTTTATGCACTGGTTAACCTTTCAGAAACAACATAGCACAGGACAGGGAGTAAAATCCTCAGTGCTGGAAAACACCCACTCTCATAACCACACACACACACACACACACAATATGGCCAATTTTAGCTTATCCAATTCACTCATGCTGCCTGTCTTTGGACTGTGGGGTGCTTTAACTTCAGATACTTACTTAAGATATCATTATTTGTTATATTATTATTTGTTTTATGTCATTGAAATATTATAAGATGTTAACAGAATAAGACAAATACAATTATTCAACATTTTACTCATCCCCATTGTGTTATCTCAACATTTTATTCATTTATTTTCCTTCTGCTTAGTCCCTGATTTCCGCCACAGCGCAATAAACCACCAACTATTCCAGGCCTGCATATGCGTTACACAGCGGATGCCCTTCCAGCCACAACCCAGTACTGGGAAACGTTCTTCTAAAATTAACATTTTTAGATCATTTTAGCCTCATGTTCGGTTATTTTAAATTAAAGGCAATAGAAAATAACCTATTCTTTGCATTAAACATGAAATTGCTAAACTTGCACATAAGAGTCTGAGAAAAAGAAGCAAATTATAGAAGAAAATATGTTTCATGCTCAAAAACCCTCCTGAATTACAACAATTGTGCAAAGACAAGTGGGTCATAATTGCTGCCCAGCACTGTGACAGACTCTTTACAAGTTATTGAAAATGCTTGACTGCAGTTGTTGCAGATTGGCCCAGCCAGTCATAAGGTTTAGGGGCAAAGCAAACGAACACCTTTTCACACAGTATTTTGTATTTTTTCACACAGTATTTTGAACGCATTTTTGTATTTTGTTTTCCCCTTAATAATAAAAACCCTCATTTCAAAACTGCATGATGTGTTTGCTTGTGTTTTCTTTTGACTAACATTTAAATTGGTTTGATGATCTAAAACACAAACATATCACAAAACTGCATAAAGTAAATAATAAGAATTATTAGAAAAAAAAAAAAAAAAAAAAATATATATATATATATATATATTTATTTATACAACAGTTCTGTCTGGTTCTTGAATCTGATTGGCTGATAGCCATGATATATTTAAGTAATATCAGCACCCATACAGCCTCTTTACCCTTTGTGTATTACTCCGCCGACATACAGTCTGCAAAAAGCAGACACTACAGATCTAAAGTTTAAAAGATGCTTGCTCAGCTGTTTAACTGTCAGCTTATGATTTGAATCCAAGGCGGAAGAAAGTAGTTCCTCATACAAAAGGGTTTTTCAAACTCTCCATGTTTGATTTTGTTTTTATATACACAATTATGCCATCAAACTGTTGTATAAACGAAATATCACACTCGTAGCAGTGCGATATGGCTGTATATCGGCATACAGCCATATCGCACTGCTACGAGTGTGATATTGCTCAAAAAAAAAAAAAAAAAAATATATATATATATATATATATATATATATATATATATATATATATATATATATATATATATAGTAATAGTGATTGTTAAAGTGTTTATTTTATGTTTCAACTTATTTTTGTGAAAATAATATGGGTGAAATAATATTTAGTCTACATTTAGTGAAGTATTTTAATGTCATAAAATGCTTTTTATCCCAAATATGCCTGACATGATTGTTTTGGAATTTCAACTATTGTTATTCTGGTCACACTTTACAATAAGGTTCATTAGTCAATGTTAATTAATGCATTTCCTAAGATGAACAAACATTGAACAATACATTTACTACTGTATTTGTTCATGTTAGTTAACATTAGTTAATAGCCCCTTTCACACATACAGACCTTTCCGGAAAATTGCCGGCAATTTTCCGGAAAGGTGTGTATGTGTGAACAGGTCCTTTTTGAAAATACCGGTAAATTCGTTCTGGCTATTTTCCGGAAAGAGAAGTTGTAACATTACCGGCAATTTGCCGGAATGCTGCGCTGTGTGAATGCAGAAGTGTTATATGTTCTTCTTAATGCCAACTGTGTAAATAATCATCGATGAGATGCGATAAGCCGTTGTTTGTTTACCTTCAAGCTTTGCGTGCGCCTATGAGCGCCTGCACACGCACATATTATGAACATCTCGACATGCGAAAGTGATCCTGCAAAAGTTGTTCATAATATTGATCATCCACAGAGTTTGTAATGTAGTCCAAATGTTTACAAATACAAGCGCAGCCGTTTAAAGCTCATTTGTGGTGAATGATGTCAGAATTTACCGGTATTTTGGAATGGATGTGTGAACGCTCTTTTCCGGAAAATTTCCGTAACGTCCTTTTCTGTGTGAACAGCGCTTTTTTGAATATACCGGTAAAGTCGTTCCGGAAATTTTCCAGAAATTTACTGGTATCACTGTGTGAAAGGGGCTAATGAAGTTCATTGTTAGTTCATGTTAACTCATGGTGCTTTAACTAATGTTAACAAGCACGGACTTGAATGTTAATAATGCATTAGTAAATTTTCAATTATGATTAATAAATGCTTTACATGTGTTGTTCATGATTAGTTCATGTTAGTGAATGCAAACTAATGAACCTTATTGTAAAGTGTTACCGTTATTCTAAATTACATTTTAGTGTTTTGCATGATTTCTTGCACTAAAATACTATAATCAACACTCTGAGTTATATATAAATCTGATTAATCTTTATTGAAAATAATAAATAGTTAGAATGAATGACTGAAAGATTGAATGTAGTGTATAAAAGAACGAAAGCAATGTGATTGTGTACATTTTGCTTATTTCCCCGTGTAGTGATGATGAACTGATGAAGCACATGCCAGCCTTGTCCATCTGCTCCCCATGAATCAACAAATAAATATTACAGAATTCAATAACCTTCACTGTAATTTCACTAGACTAAAACCTGTAACCAAACTAAAAACGGCCCATTTAAAGGGATGTTGAAGGCATCGCCAGCATCCCGTCAATCCTATCATCGATCAGCCACCGCCTATTTATATACAGCCGCTTCATCCCTCACTGTGGATGCTTCATCCCTCACTGTGGATGAGCAATTACAGTGGCAAAATATCGAGGATGTGAGGCATTTCAACGGTTCGTTCATGCTTTTTATTTTAAACCAGGGATTTTAACTTACCGTGGCGTTTTTGGTGCTGTGTTGTGTCTATTCCCGCACAATGTGGACGTGACAGCTACTTCCTGAGGAGCGCGACGTCACGCACAGCAGGAGAGACTCACCGCCCGCGAGCCGCGCTCTGTTTACAAAAACGCCAGCTTAATGGACTGTTTTGGTACTTACCCCGAAAAGGGCATAAAATGGTGTCCAAAATCTATTTAAATTTTCTGAAATTATTCTCTAAGGAGTTTCCATGAAAATAGCAAACGTTTTCCCGCCCGGGAATAGAAATTTTCGAGTTTTATAACCTATAATAACCTATATATATCATATTTCTGGATTTTTCCACACAGTTAAGAGAGAAAAAAAAACTGAATCACGAGATAAATATAAATATGAGGAAATGTTTTATTTCTGAGAAAAAAAAGTCAAATAGTAAAAAATAAACTCATAATTGCAAATTTGCACCTTTTAGATAAAGGCGCTTATTGTTGTACAGTGGAACCAATTATTTGTAATGCACAAAAGAAGCCAAACAAATGGCATCACAATGCTATCCACACATTTTATTAAAGCAACGAAAACCTGATATACAATAGAGAGACTAGTATAACTTTCTAGTAGCACAGCCTGGCATTCAGTGTTGTTGTCTGTAGACCTTATGTGACACATTTCTAAAATGAAAACTGTTAAAAATGTCTTCCATATAAAATTATATATTTTGTATAGCTAAAAAAAGTTATATAAAAATATAACTTAATCTATAATGTGCCTTAACTATTATTTGACATTTTATACTACAATTATGGATAATAAAAACAATGTTACTTTATAATTATTTTTATTTAGCATTACCAGATCAGCCAAAATTGATTTGGCTTTCATGTGCATTTGCCCCTTTGTGTTCTGTCATATATATTTATATTTTTATATATTAGATTTTATATGTATTATTAATGTGTTGTATATTTTTCTCTTTCTCTCTCTCTCTTGTTGTAGATTTGTAAAATGCAAAAGCACGTAATGTTTAATATTATCTGCAATCTTTGCCATGGTAATTATACAATACAATGCAATGCAACATTTATTGATAAAGCACATTAAAAACAAGCAAGGTTGACCAAAGTGCTGTAAATGGGAGACTAAAGTCAGGGAAGAAAACAGAATATAAAAACAGCATTGAACAAATAAAAGCAATAAAACAGTGAGTATTAAAAGCAAGAGAAAATAGATAGGTCTTTAAAACAGACTTAAACACATAGAAATGGAGGGGGAAAGTCTAATTTGAATTGGTAAAGTGTTCCAGAGTTTAGGACGAGCAACAGCAAACACTCAACCACCTCGTTTTTTTTTTTTTTTTTTTTTGAGGCGTGTTCTGGGCACGGTGAGTAAATTGAGATCATGAGAGAGGGGGGTATCCAGACAGAGCAAGTCAGTAAGGTATTGAGGAGCAAGATCATTGACGGCTTTGTAAACAAATAATACAATTTTAAAATAAATTTTGTGTTAAATGGGTAACCAGTGAAGTGCAGCTAAAATAGGAGTTACCAACTCACATGAGAAGACTACCAAAAATAGAGAGAGTTACAGTAATACAGACGGGTTGTTATGAAGCATAGATATTTACATTTGATGTCGCCCACCCTGTTGTTGTCTATTAAAAGGAATGCATCAATAGAGCCGCCGTTTTTGTGCAGGGTAGCACTCCTTTGAAATGAATGTGGGACTAAGCTGCAGTGGATGACTGTGGCCATCCAGAGCCAGAGATATACACATAAACACATATATCTATAATCAGGAGTTTTCCCGGGGGTCCATATGCAAATTATTTTTTAAATTCCGAAAATTATAATTTTACATCACTTTTCTACATTGATGGATAAATGATCGCACAGGCATTCCTGCCAAAAAGCACGTGTTTGTGTATATAGAAATGTATTATCCACCCTCCCTGTTAAATTTGATCATGTCCTAAAACACACACCCTCTCCTGCTTTCACTTCTCACACTGACGGAGGGATCGATTCATTTGTGAATGAATCCCCATTATAATCGACTCCTTCACTAGCCAACAATAATACATATAATAATAATTTCTGGCAGCGCAGCGTCTTGTTGTCATATTTCTTTTACATTGTTTGCTGATTTTATTCAACAAAACTAGCATAAGCCGAGTGTTTAGTGCGAGTTGGTGCTACTTTGCCTTAAGGTGAACGCAGTAAGTGACTGTATTATCATCAATAACGTGACATGTTTAGCACAAAAGTTCATAACATACAAAAACGTAAAAAACTAAATCTTACCTATGAAATGTTCTGCCTTTGTGCTTCGTTTTCTTTGTTTGCTCGTTACTACACCCGTAGACAGCGCTAAAGTCCAGCATCTTTACGTAAAAACACTGTCTCGACTAATGCAGTTGAATGACACTTGTCCTGGGAGCACTGTACAAATATGGCGGCGCTATTGACGCACGCTCAGGATGACTATGCGATATCTAGTGTACATATCTATGGTTATGAAGGCATGAATCACTGTTTGAACATTTCTCTAGGATAAAAATGGCTTGACTTTAGACAGTTGTCTGAGGTGGTAAGCAGGATTTTACAACAGTACTGATCTGATTGTCGAATTTTACATTTTCATCAAGCATCATCCTTTTCTTATCGGCTTAGTCCCTTTATTAATTAGGGGTCGCCACAGCGGAATTAACCACCAACTTATCCAGCATATTTTTACGCAGCGGATGCCCTTCCAGCTGCAACCAATCTCTGGAAAACATCCACACACACACACACATACTACGGACAATTTAGCCTACTTTAGCCTACCCAATTCACCTGTACCAAATGTCTTTGGACTGTGGGGAAAACCGGAGCACCAGGAGGAAACCCATGCGAATGCTGGGAGAACATGCAAACTCCACACAGAAACGCCAACTGAGCCGAGGTTCGAACCAGTGACCTTCTTGCTGTGAGGTGACAGCACTACCTACTGCGCCACTGTGTTGCCTTCATCAAACATAACACCAAGATTTCTGGCACACTGGGTAATATGTGGGGCCAAAGATCCCATATTGACATTTAACAGAAAGATTTCTTTCTCCCCCCAAAAATACTTAAATTTTATTTTCATTTAAATTTTAAAAATGGCTTGAGAGCCAAAGTTTGAGCTCCTCTAAACAGGTTAGCAGTGGTTGTAAGCCGTCATCCCCATAAAGATGGAAGAAAACTTTATATTTATTGAAAATGAAAGCCGGGGAGAGAATATACAGGGTAAACAAAACAGGCCCAATACACAATGCATACCATTATATCTGCATGCTAAGTGATTTTGAGATATTGAGCTTTAAGTATTTTGTATTTTGTAGCAAAATTAATATATATATATATATATATATATATATATATATATATATATATAATTTCTAAACAAAAATAAAAAATATGACATGAATACATCATTTTTATTCTTATTTCCTTTTTCAGAATGAGATCACGGTACTGTTCCTGTGTGCATATTTAAACACAATAAACTCGATCAACCTGCCAGGAAGTGACGGCCACACAAACTCCTCTTCCTTTTGGAACCCAATGGTGTTGTACAGCTTGTGAGCATCAGTTTGGACCATGGAGGTGAAAAGCACCACTCTCCTCACATTATGTCTGGCAACAAATTCCAAGGCTGCTTTACAAAGAGCTTTTGCGACGCCACGGCCCCGAAACTCCCATTTCACAGAGATCCTTTTCAGTTCCCAGGCACCTGGCTCCTCCACACAGGGCAAAATGCCCACCGTCCCGACAATAGACCCTTTCTCTTCGGCAACCCAAAAGCAGCTCTTGCACCCAGTCTGCATGTAGGAGCTCCTGATGTCCAACAGATCCTCGCTGAGCCCAAGCTGAATTCCCTGTTTGAAAAAATACTGCACTAAGATCCGAATAACCAGCAAAACTCCTCCAATACTCACAATGCAGGTCAGGAATGATACGAAGAAGACTTGGAGGAGCAGAAAAACTCCACAGAGCAGAGCTTGAGCCCATTGCAGGGCCTGAAGATACACTGTCCCAGCGTGCTCTCTGAAGCCAGTGGAGTAAATCAACCTCATGTCTGCGTAATCGGCATCCCGATACTCCCGGATCTGATACGACGACATCAGGCTTTAGGACTAAGATTAAAATGGATTGTTACAAAACAATTTAGAGTAAAAGTCTGCAAAATGTACTATTTTTATTTTGCTAATGAAGGCCAGCTAGGGAAGTGCTGTGTAGGTAAACCTCACTCCTCTAACAGTCGCTAGAGGCAATGGTTTTTAGCCTCCTTGCTAGAGCAACCGACTCCCATGCGGAAGGTCACCCGTTCAATCCCAGCTCAGAGCGGTTTAGGTGGTGTAGGACAGGAGGGGCTACATTGGTGTCGTGACCTGGATCGGAGTGGAGTGAGTGTTACGGAGGCCAGCTAGTGAAGTGCTGTGAAGGTAAACCTCACTCCTCTGACCTCTAATGGTGCTCTAGCAAGAGACACTAGAGGCCATGGTCTTCAGCTTCCTTGTTAGAGCAACCGACTCCTATACGGAAGGTCACCGGTTAAATCCCAGCTCGGAGTGAGTAGGGTGGTGTAGGACCAGCGGGGCTACACTAGCTCACATTGTTATTGCTAATGTGAATCATTAATCTGAGCGAGTTAATTTAGTGAAATAAGAATTTTGTTTTGGTAATCTTCAAAGTACATCTACATACTGAAATAAAGTTTGCGTGAATGTGAAGTTGCTGAGACTTTCATTTCATTAGATTGATGTACAGTACTGCCAACTGAAACAGACTAGAGTAGAGGGTGGGTTTTCCTTTTTGTGAAGCATTCCCTCATAGCAAACTAACGGTAAGAGGGGAGAGGTTGAGAAAATTGTGGCTGAAGTCATTATTGTGGAGCGACACAATAAACATGTAAGCAAATGGTCACAATTTGATTTGATGATTACCAAAACAAACTTTGTTTTTTCACTAGATTAACTGATTAACTGCTCACCTAAAGAATATGAATGTGCACTAGCAAAATAAACATTGCACATTTTAATTTCAAAAGCTTTAAAACCACTCTCAGATAAATGACAAAGCACATGATCTAGTCAAGCTGTGATTATTAGTTAAGCTTACCACCACACAGGCTTCTTCAACTGGGAAATCTTCTCATACAGACATACATTGCTATCTGGCAAGTGCAAATAGGTGACAATTGTGCAACAAAAAACTGTTTTAGAGAAAATGATTATATTGTGATTAGCATTACAGCTATATAAAATTAAAAAGCTTTGAACTTTAGACAAAGCATATAAGTCAGTGTTTTTTTTTTTTTTTTTTTTTTTTTTGCTTTAGTTCAGCTTTCTGAGAATGAGAAACTTCCTGAATGGCATCACATGATCTTTTCAGCTTCAGACCACTGCTGTTGCTCACTGAGCTTATCAAACGACCCCCTCCCAAGTGCTGCAAATACTGTATATTTTTTCACTAGTAAGGATTTCTGATCACTTTTGGCCAATAGGAGGCGCTAATACAATAATTACAGTTATTTATTTGTTTATTTATTTTATTAATGCTTAAAGGACAACATTTAGAATACAAAAATAAATGGAGGGGGAAAAATACACACACAAAGAAAATAATAAAAATAAAATGTCAGGGGTATACAGAACAAAACATGTACAAGACAATGTGTATATACACATACTAACAGAGAAGAGCCTAGTAAAATTACAAGATCTTGAAGGTTTCAAGTAAAAAAGCGGTTTTAAGGGCTTTTTTATTAGTGCTTTGCTTTATGATGTTTGTATAGTGTTTTAATTCAATCATATAGCAGGATAAAAGGGTTTTTGATTATTACATTTGCATCTGTGAATATGGTATTTTGTAAAAATTATCAAAAGATTAATGACATAAGCTTCCTTCTCTATATTTTTGTTGTTGATCAAAAACCCAAAAATAACATGTTGTTATTCTAAACGGAAGTTCTGCAATTATTTTTAATTTATGAAATTGGTCATCTCCAACCATAATTTCTTAGTGAACTGGCAATTCCAAAAGATATGCGGCACAGTTTCTGGCTGTGACAAACAAAAAGAACAGTTTTGATCTATATCCTGTCTAAACTTGGAAAGAAAATGTTTGACAGGGTAAAATTTATGCAGAATTTTAAATGAGAAATTTATTTTAAATTTGTTTGTAATAAAGAATTTGTTAGGCAATGACCATACCTTTTTCCAATTTAAATCCCTGATGAACCCAGACCAATACAAAATTATGTAGGGTTTACTAATTATAAGAGACTGAAATAAGGAATGTATGGCCTTATTTTGGTGAGAAGAAAAACAAAGCTTCCCACATAGTGTATCTTTGGGGTGTAACAAAGAAATATTTCCTGAATTTGAGTAACTTTTACATAGTGAGACAATACATAGGGGAATAGCAGCAACTACTATTGCAAATTCTTTATGGGATAAAGGAAAATTAAAGTGTGATAAAAATTCTTCAAAAGTCATTAAGTAACCTTGGGAATTTAGTACCCGTCCCACCAAAAAAAATTCCCTTTTCAAACCAATTTTTTAAGAACAAGCTTTTATGTTTATACAAAATGTTACAGTTATACAAATATAATATTGGTGTGGGGAGAAGTTTTGTTTGTATATTCATTTCCAAGCTAAAAGAGCTTGTTTGTGAAAGGCTGAGAGTTTAATTGGAAGTTTCTCTGCTTGACGTCAGCTATTTTAACTGCCTCCTTACACATCTACGAAACGTCACACCAAGGGGCATAATTTAAGTCAATTTTAAGGACTACTGTATAACCATGACACTAATCCAGGAAGAAGCTCGCTGTTGGCCTGAAAAGGTAACCGGGGGAAAAAACTCTTACCTTTGTGAAGAACTTTTAATGTCGTAAATTTTGCTGAAACAATAACATTACACAGTAACTAGCTAATGACTCTTTAATATGTGGACTGCCGTTAATATGTGTGCCTAATTTATCTTCCTGCAAGCAGGTTAATGTGTTGTCTTTGACTAAAAAATACAGGAAGAAAGAAAAATACAATAGTCATCTTCACATCTGCTTTTTCTTATGCTTTTACCCTAAAAATAATATTAACAATGCTAAAAATACAGGCCAGGATTGTCCAACAGTTGTTCTATGAATTACTGATATGTCTAAAAATAACTATACTGTAAATATGTTAAAACACCGGACATAAAAAACACATTTATAAAAGATTTTATTGATTTCTTACAACAAATTACAAAAAAAAATCTTCATATTGAGTGGATGTTACGTTGAATGTTTTACACTGAAATCAGTCAGCCACAGGACAATCACATTTCATTATGTCATCAATTAAAAACAACAGAAAAAAAGCTCAGATGATTCAGTTCTTTTGTTAACCAGCATAAACTGATAATAATTTTCACACTCTTGCTGCCATTATAATCAACATCAATACTAAGAGAGGTGGAAATGTAACGTCCTTCACATTGCAAGCAATTCCTGTTAAAACCATCGGACGGTTTCGGGGTATCTCATTTGCATTACGGACCAAATGCAAATACTTTGTTTACAGGGAACTGCTGTTTTTCGCAGTCCAAGAAACTTCTAAATATACATAAACAAAAAAGATCTTCAACAACACATCAAGGTCTACAAACTCTATGGCATTTTCTCCAAGAACACATCCCTCAAATGCTTGTTAAATACTCTGTGGTGAAATGATCAGAAATGCATCGTTTTGATTCTGTAAAGGGAGAGTTTAACCCAAAAAGTGAAATCTGTTATTATTTAGTCACCTTTCCCTTGATCAAAACCCATGGATCCTTTTTAAAAGACTGTTATGATAAGTTTAACATCCTAAATCCTTGAAAGTTTTTAATATTTAGATTTTTTTTTAAACGTATAAACATTGATATGCATTTATGTATGTATTACATCATATTTGCGTCAACTTAAAAAACAAATGACCGCTTATGTGAGGTGTTTCTAACACAGCGTCTATGAGGCTTAGAGTAAATTTGATGTTGTTCTCTCCTCTGTCTGCCGTCATCAGTCTCACACTATTTCCTTATTTTCTAAAAGTCTTGATTACACCATCGTGGTCGTTTTCTTTTATTATTTTAGCAAATAAGATTGTAAAAAAAAAATGTTGTACACTCCCATTCACTGCGCTCTAAATTTACCAAGCTATGATGAAAAGGAAGTGTGGAAAGGGTCCATATTAACAGAAAAGAATAAACATTTTGAAGAATGCTGGTTACCCATTAACTTTTATAGTGCTTTTTTTTCCACAAAGAATGTCGATTGGTCCAAACAACCAGCATTTCCCAACATCTAAATATCTTCCGTATCAAAAAACATCAGAATATTCTTTTATTTTGTTCAACAGAGGAAAGAGGGAGAGTAAATGGTGAGGTCATTTTCATTTTGGGTGAACTATCACTTTAAAGGCTCCATCTTCACTTGTCATTTCAGACTTATTAGACTTTAATTCAACTTCAGAACACGGATACATACATTTGTAACCAATTCTATGTGATTTCTTTACATTCCCTCAAAGTCTACTTACTCAAAATGCAATGCATCAAAACATTTGCAAACTTATAAATGAATGATATTCTAAAGAGTTTTGCATAAAACAGTTATCAGCAAACAATGTTTACAGCCTTCAGATTTGATCTTTGACACGAGAACAAATTCGATTCATTCTTTTATGTCACATTTGAGCTTCATGAACCATTGAGGTTTGTTTGTCTCGCATGTCATTAATATATGGTAGTAGGCATGGGGCTGATAAAAGATTCTGAAGGTGTGATAACCTTGGATACCAATATTCGCGGTTGTTTCACGGTACTGTGATTACTGCTCGAAAATATATTCTTTTAAATGTCTGAGGAAAAAATTACGCTTTTTTCCCCCTTTAAACACAATATTTTAAGAAATACTTTAGAGGAGTAAACATGTCAGGCTAAATAATTAAAATTAGTTATTGAATCAAATGAATCAAACACACAGATTTCTTTCATCTAAAACGCCATCTTTGGAGATCTTTTCAGCTGGAGATACTGTTGTCCTAAGAAAATTTTGCCGGTTTTAAAACCTTGACTTTTCCAAAACGGTTATCGTCTCATGTCAATATGGTGGGGCTTCTGATTATGATTTCTGATCGCTGTTCATATGTGAATAAAACCTGCCCTTTAGATTGATTCATATAAATATTTAGGAGTGAACATTGATAGTGAACTTAATTGGCACTCTCAGGTGTCAAGTCTTTGTGCAAGAATTTATCAGCAATTACACTTTTTACGCAGACTAAGATTATTTGGAGTGAGTAGCAGCATAATGATGACTTTTTATAAAGCAACAATAGAGTCTATTTTAAGATATGGGATTATTGTTTGGTTTGGGAATCTGACAGTAAAAATGAAAACCCAAGTAAATAACCTGATGAGAGTGGCAGGAAAAATCACGGGAATTAAGACACTTGGTTCACTAAAAGACATCTTTGAGTTGTGCACAATCCAACAAGCCAACAAGATTTTATCTGATTCTTCACATGTGCTGTCTGTGGAATATGAGCTGATGAATTCTGGCAGAAGATATAGGGTCCCGCTGTGCAAGCATAATAGATATAAACATTCTTTTGTTCCTTTTCAATTAAGTTGATCAACGAGCAAGCAAGGAAGGATGGTCAAAGACTAAGATAACAGGATTGGTTTGCACAACAGAGGGCAGTGGGGCATATGGTACTTTAATCATTTTTTATTTTTTTATAAAAAATTTATTAAAATTACTGATTTTATGGAATCATATTTATATTAGGAGGTATTTTAGGATTAGATTTTAATGTGTATGTATGTTACATGTTTTCTTGTTAGTGTCGATGTACAGCAGAACCTTTTTTCTAAAACAAATTTCTCCTACGGGAGACAATACATTTTACCTTGACCTTGACTTCTCTTTGAACATTCAATGTTTTGGATTAAAATGTAGGAACTGATTAAAAAGTTAATAAAACTGATTCATTAAAAAACTGATTTGTTTTCTGAAGGTGAAAAAAAGTGCTGAAGGTGTGGAACAAGATAAGCAAATAATAACAGAATTTGGTTAAACTAATGCTTTAAATCATAAACAAAAAAGTTCTGCTTTAAAACTACATAAAAAATTGCATAAGACAACTGATTCACCCGCCCCCCTTTATAAATAACTTCTTATAAAAGAACACCTCCCTTTTTCCAAAGTGGATTTTTTAGAAAGAAACAGACAATTGAAGATAGCGGTTTGCTTCATTAGTGATTTGAACCAGCGTTAAAAAGCCCTTTTAATCAGGAACAAAACTGCAGAGGCGTCATCCTCAGTTGTGACGTTTTACGATGAGCTGATACTCCATTAGTGTGAAATTAGTCAGCTTGGCAATAAACTCTGGAGCACTAAATTCTCTGACCTTGTGGTAGCCCATGTGCTCATAGAGCTTCTGTGCATCTGTCTGGACCACTGAAGTGTGCAGGATTACTCCTAAATAACCACGTTCACGAGCAAAATCAGCCACGGTGCGGCACAGCGCTTTGGCAATGCCTTTTCCACGATGAGCCTTTTTAACAGACATTCTCTTCAGTTCCAAGAAGTTCTTGTCATTCTCTGAAGGAAAGCAGCCAACTGTGCCCACGACACGACCTTGGCTTTCGGCAACCCAGACGCAGGCATTCGGTGGATCCATGTAGGTCTGCTGAATGTGGCTTAGATCTTGTTCAAGGGATGTCTGGATGTACTTGTTGAACATGTAACACACGCTTTGCCTGCCTGCGGCCAAAAGCAGCGTGACTGCGAGAACGGGTAAAAGGATGGACATTGAGCTGGTCAGCAAAGCGCAAAACACACATCCCAGAAACATCTGTGCCAGGGGCTGCTTGAGGACGTGCATGCAGGATGACGGGATGTGTTCACTCATACCGATAGTGAAAACCTCCTTCACTTCTTCAAGATCCTCCTCTCTGTACTGACGAATCTGCACCTCATCCATGACCTTCAAAATCAACCAAAGACGCAATTTCATTGAAAGCTAAGGACAAACCAAATAAAATTACACTCGTCTAGTCATTAATTGAGGTAAAGTTGGTTTTATATTCGCACATTCGTTTATTTATAAGTCCCTATATTGTTTACTTTGAATATTCAATCGGGATTAGCATGCAAGTATGACTTCAAAACAACATTAGCATTGTCTAATTGACTTTGAACAATGTTGTACTTTGATAATCATTGGCTGCTATTATGATTTCCCTATTTAGAATTTGCAAAAAATAATTTTCTGAAATGATATTATTAAGGAAAAAGTGTGAATATAAAACCAACTCTACCTCTATTAATCATTACCAGTCCTTTTGGAAGTGAAATAATGTTTACTTACATCTATATAACTACACAGTGACAAATATATCAGGTATAAGACTAACATTTAAAAAAAAAACAGTGAAAACAGTATTAACGTTATATCTCACTCTGACAGTCTTGGTGATTCTATTAGTATCCAAAAATCACAAGACACAGTATATATATGGTGGCACAGAAACTCACAGCAAACTCCCCCGATCGCCTCGATCCAGATAAGACGAGATTTCCAGGTTATTGACCTTTACTCGATGCCCAGCGAGCATATATACCAAGCATTCGCGAGTTTACGGAAGTGTTCCTGAAGAGCTTCGGGGAGACGGTGTCTGCACAAAGTAACAACGGTGATAATCAAAATCAGGCCAATTGAAAACAGGCTTTTTTCAGATGTTTAAAATCTAGAGTAACCAAATAAATAAATATATAATAATAGTAGCAGTAAGTAGTAGCAGACGTCCCCCACTGTAAATGATCAAACTAACAACATTAATGCTTTGTTGTTCAGTTCTTCGTTTCCTTCGATCACAGCTTAAGAGCTCGCTGTCGACATCTGCTGGAGAGGAGATTTTAAATAAATGACAAACGCGATTCTTTCAGTGAAGATATCCATCCATCCATCCATCCATCCATCCATCCATCCATCCATCCATCTATCTATCTATCTATCTATCTATCTATCTATCTATCTATCTATCTATCTATCTATCTATCTATCTATCTATCTATCTATCTATCCATCCATCCATCCATCCATCCATCCATCCATCCATCCATCCATCCATCCATCCATCCATCTATCTATCTATCTATCTATCTATCTATCTATCTATCTATCTATCTATCTATCTATCTATCTATCTATGCTGAAAAATCCAGTTTAAACAGCCTAGGATAGTTGGCTGGTTTTAGCTAGTCAACCAACCTGGCTTTAGAGGTGTTTTGGCCATTTACAGCCTGGTTTTAGCTGGACGGGCTGGTAGGTGAACAGCTAAAACCAGCTTGATCAGCTTAAACCAGGATGGTCAAGCTGGTTTTAGATGGTTTTAGCTGGTCACTTTCCAGCCAGACCAGCTAAGACCAGGCTAGAAATGGCTAGAAACCAGCCTGGAAGTGGCCAAAACCCCTCTAAAACCAGGCTGGTTTAAGCTGGATTTTTCATCAGGGTCTGTCTGTCTGTCTGTCTTTTTATTTATCTATCTGTATCTGTTTTATATTCACGCCATATAACGTATAAACGGTTTAATTTTTAAAGCAAATTCAAACTTTAAACTACTTAAGCCAACAACAATGTCTGTCTTGTAAACTTGTGTTGTTGTTGTTGTTGTTGTTGTTGCTTGTTACTGTTTATTTATGTTTAATGAGGTTAGCAACTGTGTAATAATGGTAATTAATTAATAACACAAAAGTCCTAATTATGGATCACACTTTTAATCTATTTAATTTTTTTTTAACTCAAATTTGATAAACTTTCAGTTAGGCTAAATGAAAAAGGCTATTTCAGTTTTTCTCTGTGAATTTGGTGCATTTCTCACAACACTTTACATTTTCAAATCAGTTAATGCATTTCATTGCAATGCATTTTAAAGCAATTAGTACAAACTGCAAAACCTAGTTGATTACCTGCAAAAACTTGTCACTTGCTCAAAATGGATAGCTCATTCCTCTAAAGCAAGTACTGATGTCAATGAAAGTGTCAGTGTCACTGCATTTAGTGGGGAATCTGAGTACAAGACACTGACTATGTTTGATTCACATTTTTACTGCATTTGCTCTTTACAATCCTTATTTATTCCCAGCATTGTGCAAAAGAATAAATACACCCTTATTTACAACAAACATAAACTCTCATTGGGTAGAGCTGTGCACAACTGTAAACAATATTGCAGAACATATTGGAACTGTCTGTAAATCATTTATGAAATTGTTTAATTTAGAAGACATTTTCAGAAAAAAAAAAGATTTAAGATTTTTTATAAAATTTGCTTGACAGATTTTGACAACTAGTTCAGCATTTTTGTATGTAATGACTCAAGTAATCTAATGAGGACTATTAGTCTTATATGGAATGACTATTCAGCATTCACAAGTTTATTGCATTTTGAATGACATGACATAAGCAAATAATGTTATAAAGCAGCAGAGAGTTGTATGAAAGCAGTTGATGCATGTCCAAAAGCATTTGCAATTTTTTGAGAGGGGTCTGGCTGCATACGAGGTGCAGTGCAATCTGAGCTGCATCCAATGCTTTTTGATGCGCTCACCTAACCCCAACCCTAACCCTACCCATCACAGTGACGTCACTCGCTCCATTGAGTGCATTGAGTCTGACGTTACATCGCTGTGTGATGCAATCTCAGCTTGTATCATCAAGGCTGCATCCAGATGCTATTGAATTAATTGGAAGGAATGAGAAACTGCTACTATGATGTGCACAAATGACTAATTGTTTAGAGAAATGCATTAACTTTTGTGCAAATGTAAATAATGTTGTGAGAAATGCAACAAAGCCACTGAGAAAAATTGTAAAACATTTAATCCATTTTAGTTTTTTTTTTTTTTACTTCAATTTGACAAACTTCCAGTGAAATGAAAACGACTATTATTGTGACCTCCTCTAATCCACTAGATGGCGGATTTCTACAGTCTCTAAATGATGACTGGACAGAAAGAAATACAGGAGGTGTGCAAAAAGCCTTTATAGTTTTAGAAATATTTCTATAAACTTCTAATTATATTTAAGTGCAGAAAAATATCTGAAAGGTGATGGTAACACACAAAATTATGGCATACTTATCAAAATTAAAAAACCAAACAGTAAGAACTGGTCTTTAAAGTAAAATAAGGAACATCAAGAGGAAGATCTGTGGAAGATCTAGTTTATGAATGAAACAAAAATCCACTATTTAAGGGTCCTGCTGAAAAAACAACAACAAAAAAACAGCATATGCTGGTGAAGTGTTTTGATGCTGGCAAGAACAGCATCAAAATATACCTTGCCAGCATATGCTGTTTTCATAGCTTTTCATAATTTCATATCATTTATCATCTGTGTTGCTGTTATTAAGCTCAAAAGAGAAAAAAATGTAGACAAGAGAGAGAGGAAAAAAAGAGAAACATCCTTTTTATAGTATAAGATGTTGACCTATAACAGGTATTTCAGCCCAGGAAGAACAGACAATGTCCCACAGTTCCTGTAAATTTTTAGGTTTTACCTCAGAAACTGCATCTTAATGTCAGCCAAAATATTTTGTTGTGGAAGGTCGCTGGTTCGAACCCCAGCTGGGTCAGTTGGCATTTCTTTGTGGAGTTTGCATGTTCTCTCCATATCCATGTGGGTTTCCACCAAGTGCCGGTAGTTTCCTCCACAGTCCAAAGACTTGTGCTGTAGGTGAATTGGGTAAGCTAAATTGTCCGTAGTGTATGTGTGTATGTCCTAGTCCTCCAGGTTGGGTTTAAAATAAGATGTTACAAAATACCAACATGGTGTGGCTAAATATCAACTTAGATATAAACGACCCTGGGAGTAAGTCTTAAGGTCAGGGCACTGAGCTGGCCATTTCATTTCCTCTATCCTGTTTGCCTGAAACCAATTTGTCATTCATTTACTTGTGCGTTTGGGGTCGTTGTTCTATTGAAGCACTTATTTCAGGAGCATTTCCTCTTTGGCATAGGGGAACGTAATCTCCTCTGGCATTTTGATGTTGTCAAACTGATCCATGATGATAAATAGATCAAAACTCTTCACAGTGATCTGAGGCTTGAATTTAGTATATGGTTGTCTTCACATTGACATGTTGGTAGTGACCAGATCTGAAGTGAACAATTTTACTCTAATCAGTCCACATTTGTCTTTGGGCCTATTGATGTGTTGTTTGGCCATTTTTTCAACAATGGTGCTTTAGAACAGTGGTTCTCAAAGTGGTGGTCTGGACCCCCCGCGGAATCACAGGATAATGAAGGGGGGTCGCCTGGTGATTTCCAAAAATCCATTTATTTTTATTAAACCATAAGAATTACCATATTTTACCCATAACCTACTGAAGAGAAAAATAGTTGTTTATATAATTACTATAGTAGCTTACCAGTTCTATTGGATTGCGATCACTGGGAGGATTGCATTATATTAAAGACACAGCAATAGTGTCAGATGCAGCAGATTGATTTGATAAAACCAGGTTAAACTTTCCGGCTCATTTACAGCACTGACATACATTGAAAAAAAATGAAACAAAGAATAGACCTGGGTCGATTGGTGTTTGTGCGCCATTGCATGCAAGGTTTCAGTATTTATAACCACCTCAGAGGATATTGTGGGCTGAAAAGTTTGTGAGCCCCTGCTTTGGAGGGGCTTCTTTCAGACAGCTGACCTTTCCTCAAACATCTTCTCACTGTAACTGGACTTGCAGGTCGATTTAGATCATTAGTGATCTGTCTAAAAGTGATGGTTGGCCAGATCTTTGCAATTTTAACTATTCTTTAATTTGTTTTAACCTTTTTTATGTGTTTCATTTTTGATTGTCACTTTAAAGCATTTTAAATCATTTTAAATGAACATTCTGTAATTTACTGCACTTCTTTATACTTGCTTGCTTTCCCTTCTAAAATCAACTTTTACTTAACCAAATACCGGGTCCGAGACGTCATTGACTTTCGCTTTAAGATTTAAAGGGCTAACATTGCACCAGACCCCTTTAAGTGGTGTCGTTTGAAACTGTAGAATCTATATTTTATGCTCATATGCATTACTTTGGTTTTAAGTTATTTACACTTAAATACACATTTTGGATACCCGAGCAGGGTATTTTACTTAGGTTAATTTTCATATTTTTTATATGACACATGTACAAGTTAGAGCTCAAATGAAAGCTCTTGCCGGTGCTCATACGGTTCTAGCATTCTTTTTACTGAATTATATTCACATATCAAACAGTTGCCGAATGAATCTTGGTGTTTCCATGGCGCAGAAATGAAAACAATACATTTATGATCAATAAGCAGCCCCAGATAGCACAGACAGCTGTCATCTCTTACCTTATGCTGTGTGCTTGAGGGCCATTTCTTCTCTGTTTTTGAGGTGATATGCATAAGTAATCCTTTTATATGTCTGACGTGGTCCAAACACAGTGAATTATGTTTGATCAAACAAAAGAATAGTGAAATATGAAAACAATGATCGGTCCTTGTGGCTTGTACAGCACCTCTCATCTGTTGGAATACAATAACTTTTGCTTAGATTATGGTGGAGACGTTTTTCTTTTTTCCTATGATTACAGACATGTGCAGGAACCACCAAAATTAATTACAGCAGGCTAGACCACACAGAACCTAAAAGGTACACTTTCAACTTTGAATTTATAAAAAAAAATACAAAAAGCGCCTCTTTTTTTAAGGTGTTTATTATAATACAGACAACATATACAGATATTTTAAACACTTTTAATAGTGTTTTATGAAAATTCAAAGGGTTTTCTTTAAAATGGTACTAAACTTTTGCATTTACACCTTTGCATGTGGATTTGGGAAGCTTTTAAATTTGGGTAGGCAAAATCCAGGCGGAAATCCCAAAATAGCAGCAGAGTTTAACTGGTTAAATGGCATTATTGTTCAAAACAATGCTTAAAAGACGCCACAATTCAGAAAGAAATATAATTTATAGCAATGTGTGAATGATTGCTGACCTTCCTGCTCAGTCAGTAAATGACCGATAATGGCACGTTTTTCACAGAATGAATGGATTTTCACAGAACCCCACACACTATTGTTTTGAACACACCTGTTTCAGTGCAATGTCTTTGAGAATGAATAGTTTTTACAATAAACATAGGGAGAGCTCAGACACATGTTGGGTTTCCATGTTTTATGGAAACCAACATGTAAGTGTGTTTAAATGTCAATAGTCTTTTTACTTATACTAAAATACACTGAGAAATGATGCCATTGTTATTTCTATATTGACATAAGGAAATATGTGACATTCAAATTTATAAAACACTTTTCATGATCAATAGAATTCAGCTGTACAGAACATATAACTAGTGATCCAAAGGCAACAGTGGTGATAAAAAGCTCTCAAGAAAGAACAACACAAAAATACATACACCTTTAAACAAATATACAGTGCTCATGCAGCACAAATGAGTACACCGCTGTTTTAGCAGCCCCGAATTTTAGTACTTAAAATGTTTCAGCAAACCAAAAAGGTTTTAGTATGGTTTGTGTTCATGCAAGTGAGACAAGTGTGGTGCTAATCGACAAGAGACGGCAACAAAAATCATCCATACACCATACTAATCAAGCAATGCAACTGTTTATTGCTGTTACACACAGTTGATACCGATAATAGTCAATAATTATGAATCATACTCATTCATTTATTTTCTTTTCAGCCTAGTACCTTTATTAATCAGGGATCGCCACGAATGAACCGTCAACCAGCATATGCTTTACGCAGCGGATTCCCTTCCAGCTGCAACCTAGTACTGGGAAACACCCATATACTCTTGCATTCTCACACATACACTACAGCCAACTTAGCTTATTCAATTCACCTATAGCCACTGCCCATGTCTTTGGACTGTGGGGTAAACAGTCGCACCCAGAGGAAACCCATGTGAACATGGGGAGAATACAGAAACGCACAGAAACGCCAACTGACCCAGCCGGGGCTCAAAACAGCTGTGAGGCGACAGTGCTACCCATTGCGTCACGGTGATGCAGAATCATACTTATGATCATCATTAATCGAAATACAACAACATTGCAATAAAGGCTTATAATGAGTCTGCGTCAATACATAGCACCAAGGTACTCACGGCGACCCGAGTTCGATTCCTGGCTCGAGATCCTTTCCCTACTCTCTGTTCCCCACACTTTCCTGTCTGTAAAATGTCCACTGTCCTATTCCAATAAAGGTCAAAACCCCTAAAAAATGATTATTAAAAAAGGCTTATAAGGCGAAATAAAGATGAATAATGAGGATTAAATGAATAAAAGACAGATAATGAAACCCCAAGCAATTTGATATAAGGATATACAACCTCAGAGTGGTGCCATTATTTGCCTCTTCAAAGACTGGGGAGCCCGTTGCAGATATACTGGAAAACCAACATGTGTGTCCAGGAATACCAGGCGATGTGCACTTATAAACTGAGCTGAGCTTCCAATGTTTCAGCAAGAAACTCTAACCTTTATAGCCAAAATTTGGGTGCTGGCCAAAGGTTGGCCTATTAGGTATGAGAGAAGAGATTTGGGCTGCTCTCTTTCTCTCAACTAGCTGCACATCATTTCTAATTGCGAAGCACAAATTTGAGTCAGCATGAGTCAATATAATATCATAGAGTCAATATTCTACCTCCTGAAATGAGAAGAAAGTTAACCTTAAGGTCATGAGACCCTTCTCTGGTCACTTGGTCATGCTTGAGGGTCAATATTTTACCTCCTGAAATTTGGAGAAAGATGTGAAGTTAACCTTAAGGTCATGAGACTTTTCTTTGGTCATTTGGTCGTTCGTTGAGCACAACAAAAAACATGTCCCATTTCTAACAACCCTTTACAGATCTTTTTTTACACATTTGTGTACTGTATATGCAGTATATTAGTCAGTACCAGGGTGATACAGTGGCTCAGTGGTTAGCACTGTTGCCTCACAGCTAGAAGGTCGCTGGTTTGATTCTCTGCTGGGTCATTTGGAATTTCTTTGTGGAGTTTGCATATTCTTCCCGTTTTGGCATGGGTGTTCTCCGGGTGCTCTGGTTTCCCCCACAGTCCAAACACATACGCTATAGGTGAATTGAATAAACTAAATTGGCTGTAGTGTGTGTGCGTAAACAAGAGTGAATGGATGTTTCTTAGTACTGGGCATCCGCTAAAATATTATCCTGGTAAGGCTAAGTTGGTGGTTCATTCCACTGTGGTGACCTCTGATTAATGAAGGGACTAAGTCGAAGGAAAATGAATGAATTAATAAATGAAGTCAGTATCAAAGCCAATACTGGACTTAAAGGGCACCTATTTTACTCCTTTTTCAAGCTTTTAGAGAGGTATTTTGTGTCTCCAGAATGTGTCTGTAAAGTTTCAGCTCAAAATATCCAATAGATTATTTATGAAACCTTTTAGAACATATAGAATATTCTGCTCTGAACACAATGTAGCTGTTTTTGTTGCCTGTGCTTTTAATGCTAGTTCTCCCATGCCACAGCTTCCACGTGCCTGTTAGAGTGTACCTCAATCTCCACCTCGGCTGCGTCAGATAAACAGCACAGTGACAGACATGTAGGAAGCAGATCTGACATTTTTGTGGAGTTAATTCAAACCTTTCAATGAGTCACACACAATGAAGTTACAAAGTTCACGCACGTTTAAATTCACACACAGCGGACACACACATATAGCGCATGCATTTAACTTTTTTTTTTTTCCACCGCAAATTGCTGTATGGATATCTGTTATGTTAATGTACAAAATAATCCTGATTTAACGTCCACAAACGGGATTAAAGCCTCTTCTATTATAATTGTACTGACACGCAGCTGTGGTGATAAAGTAAATATGGTGAAATCGGTGTAATTGATTACAAACATGCACTGTTTCAAAGTTGTAAAACTCATTCTTGATCACATTTGATGATGACTGATGATCACAGAGAGCTGAACAGATCTTTTAATCTCAGTGGTTTTGCGCACGTCCTGTCTTGTTTATAAGATCATACACGTTCCTACGGAGACATGTTAATACATGGCTGTCAATCAATTTGGTAGGCAGGGAAACCGCACCCCTACGTCACATTGGGGTCGGCCTCAAAATGGAGAGGGATTTGGATCCTATTTTAACATCAAGAAAAATGTAAAAAAGAAACTTATTGTTTTTATTTCACCCCAATATGACTATGGACACAATATACCTATACACAGTTCTGTCCAAACGACAGCTTTCAAAAGATGATTTTCCTCATAGGTGCCCTTTAAGATCACCAAAACTTAAGATCAAGGTGAAAAAAATAGTACACCACAATAAATATGTTACACATTATTCAATAATTAGGAAAAAATCAAGAAAACTATTTAAAATATAAAATGTTGTAGTTTTAATTTGAATTTAAATGTATTCTCTTTCTATTGTGTTAAGTAAATGAATATATCTGTTTAATAAACAGCTTAAATGCATCAAAATACTTCTAGTAGGGCTGTGCAATTAATCGAAAATACGTTTTCGATTTTGATTTTGGCTTCTAACGATTATGAAAAACCATTAATCGAGATAAACAATTATTGCATCATATACCACCCCCTTTCCAGTTGTACACATTTGTTGCTCTTAAAAGCGCGAATAACAGCGAGCTGCTGTGTGTGTGCGGCACGCACACAGTCAGAAGCATGTAGTCAGCATTCGGTCTCATTCGCACACTAGGACGAACAGAGCGCACACATCTAAAGTTATCTTAACGTGAGCGCTTTAATGGTCAAATAGGTGTCAAAACGCAGAGTTTAGTGATTATTCATATTAACCCTCATTTGTGTAATAAACAAACAAGTTGAAAATCAAAAGACACGTGAAAGAGAAAACTTTAAAGTGACAGCGCGATATTCCTGCTGCCGCCTGTTTTTATCATTAATCAAACAACAAAAGGAGAAAATCCCTCAGTGCTCTTGACTGAAGGACTGCTGTAGCTAAAGTGTTTTTCTTACAGTGAAGATGCTTAAAGCACAGTTTGCATCATATTTTTATTCTATCCGCTTGTTAAGTGGTGATGTGTTGGTGACGTATGTAATACTGTTTGCGGGTCCAAGCCGCCACTCATTTGAGTTGAGAAATCATCGTTTATGATCACTTTTTATTCATATCACACATTAAAGTTAATTTTATATTAAGTCATAGTGTACACAACAATCTCTGGGTCTGCTGCAACGCAAATACCAAAATTTTGACAATTTATAAAAAACTTAATCACTTTCTGGCTATTGGATATTAGGCATGGGCATATATATTGCAATCGTGATATTTGAAAGTATTAAATCGCTTTGTAAACGTCAATTATTACCATTTCATGAGTCTCCCCATTCAGTTCAATAGAGCGCTTGAACCCGGAAGCCGATTTGCGTGACGTCACACTTAACAAGTGGATTGTATTTATTTCTCTTTCCTTTGCAGGGTGGAAAATAACTGTATATATGCAGTTGAAGTCAGAATTATTAGCCCTCCTGAATATTAGCAACTCTTTTCCTTATCAATTTCTGTTTAAGATTTTTTTTCAACTTATTTCTGAACATAATAGTTTTAATAACTCATTTCTAATAACTGATTTATTTTATATATGGTAGGATGACAGTACATAATATTTTACTAGATATTTTTAAAAATACAAGCATTCAAATTCAAAGTGTGATTCAAGGGCTTAATTAGGGTAATTAGGCAAGTCATTGTAAAACAGTAATTTCTTCTGCTGACAATCAAAAATATATGGCTAAAGGGGGCTAATAATATTGACCTTAAAATAGGTTACAAAATATTTAAACCTGCTTTTATTCTAGCCAAAATAAAACAAATAAGCCTTTCTCCAGAGGAAAAAATATTAGAGGAAATACTGTTACATTTCCTTGCTCTGTTAAACATGATTTGGGAAATATTTATTTTTAAAAAATTTTCAGAAATGCTAGTAATTTTGACTTTAACTGATAAACGTTTTGAAAAATCTGGATTACAGTTGTGACCAAAACAACCGTGATTATGCTTTTTCCAAAATCAAGCAGCCCTAACTTATAGTAAGAAATTGATAAAAACATTCATTTTCAGAAGTGTGTGTACTCATTTATGCTGTGCACTGTGTATGTTTATAACCGTTGACTTTATTTTGTGCAAAACTTTAGTATGAACAACACAAACTGTATGTGCTACACATAACTGCTCATAAATAGCCAATATTACACATTACATGTACAGTGCTCAGTATAATTAAGTACACCCCACTTGGGAAATGAATTTTTGTATCAATTTCTTAGTGAATATAGACCATGTACTTTGGTGCATTTAAATGAAACAGCTTTATTAAACAGGTATATTTATTAAAATAATATTTTAGTCAGCAAACATATTGAGAAATTGAAAGATAATACAATTAAATTTAAGCAAAATATTGCAAAAATAAATTACAGCCTACAAAATTTCAACTAAATCTTTCTTTTTTTGCTTAAATTTGTATTTCATATTTTTTTTATAACATAAGCACTACTTATTGGACCATTATCGTAAGTTATTTTGTTAGATAAGCTCCAGATTTGGCTTCAGTGCTGACTAATCTAATGTATATGCACAGATATAATGATCTATAGCTTCATATTAAAAATATGAATTTAAAAGACAGATTTGTGAGGGGTGTACTTATATATGCCAAGCACTGTATTTTATAAATCAATAAATGATGTATATTTCTAAATAACCCTAAACCAAACCTAATCCTTTTTTTTTAATGTAATTATTACTTATACTTAAATGTTAAATTAAACTGTAATTAAATAAAGTGCAGCCTTCCTTCTATAATAGCATTTAGAAAAGACACAAAGGCACAAATCAACAGTCTTCACCTTCATGTGCTATGCTTGGACTTTGCAAACATGATATACGGTCTCAGTCAAAAGGTGCAGCTTTGACATTTGTTCTACAAAGCAGCTTAGAGACTCGGTGTCGGGCTGTACTGAGGAATTCCTGCTCACACAGCGGCCTATTGTTGCCAACTCGCAGACACAAACAGCCACAGCAGAGCAACAACAGCAGTAAAAAAAAAACATTACAGAAATCAATCTTCCAGGACCATTTGATTGTGTTACATTTTCCCAACTGCAAACACAGCACAAGTTTAATATAAAAATAGGGGAGAAAAATAGTGTCTGAAGGGTTTTTGGTTTTTTTGAAAGTGAAAACAATTGTTCTTTGTTTCCCTTGGCTTTCTTTCTACTGCAGATTGATATCTCCAGCGAACAGGGTGATAAGCAGAATTATAGTGAATCCGGTGAGCAGTCCAGCATTTTGGATGAGGAAGAACACGACTCTTTCCTGATAGTCTTTGGTATGTGATGCCATGATACTGTTCATCTCTGGGAACTGGAAAAACAGAGTACAATACTGTGACTTGAAGTTTAAGGAGAGTTACTGCACAACTGCTGCATAATGCCGATGATACACAGGACAACTGTTTGGGCAATGTTGCTGGGCAGCTTTGGGAAATTATGTCATAAATGGGCAATGAGATGAGACACAGGTTACCCACATGGAAAGAACCTATATAAACATATAAGTTTTATTATAGGTTTTGATATAGGTTTTTAATAAGACATATAAAATTGGTCATTTTCCTATATTATGTGTACATATACATGCTCAAATACAGTATGTGTACATATATATGCACAAATGTTCACCTATATGTTTGTAAAACGATTAAATCCATAGCTGATAGAAAACGTAAATAAAAAGAAATTTACATTTTTTATTTACGTATGAACAATGAACAAATAGTACAAGAAAAAATATAGTACAAGAACAAAAACAAGGCAAAAAAAAAAAAACAATAAGGAAAGAAAACAACAAACCATTTTGTTACACATTTCCTCTTTTCCTTTTTCCACCATCTTCATACAAGAAAGAATTGATCTCGTAAATGATTCAGGAAACTGTGTAGCCATCATAGCTTTCCATCTCCACTCACTTATTTGCCATAGATTAATTCCATAACATGCCAGTTACTTGATGATACCTATTTCAAGTGTTCGATCATACATATGTTTATTTTTTTGCATTTTAAGTTAGTTCTAGTTATTGCCTTGATATTTAAAAATATGAGCTAAGGCAAGGCATCACGTATGACAGTTGCAAAAATTAGATATGAGCTATGTAGGAGACATATCATGTACATGTAGGACTTATATAAGATCATAAAGAAGCAATATAGCAGACCTATATGGCCCGTATATGCACATGTATGCACTTCATATATATATATATATATATATATATATATATATATATATATATATATATATATATATATATATATATATTGTCATATATTTGCATATAAACTCAATATAGGTTTTATATATGCGTATATATCCTCATATAAGTTCTTTCCATGTGGGTAACTGCTCAGGTGGTAAAGAATTCTGGCCCAGATTTGGCACTGACAAGCAGCATTTGGACCAAACATGGCTCAGGTTTGGCAGAGGTGGCACCGTCTTTAAGGCAGCACACAAGACTTGGGCCACATGTAAAATGTAGTATTTGGCCCAGATGTTAAAAAATCAATATGTGGGACCAGGGGAGGCCAAGCTGGAGCACTCACTTTGGTACCCCGGGCTCTGCAGTGGTTGGGGAAATTTAAAAATTCAAGCAAAACAAACAATTGCAATTGGTTTAAGATTGGCAATGAAAATTCAGGAATTTTAACCAGCAGAACCTGGAAAGTGTTTTAAAAAAATGTGTTCCACGCAAGTTTGGCCTTTCTTGACCCACATATATAAAGTTATTTTTGAGTAACGAAAAAATTCTACCAGCCAGGTCTATCAATTTCATTGCAGTCATGGCACACCAACATGTCTGTCCTAGTTATGGCTTACTAACTTGGCTGAGACCCAGATATGGTCCATGTTTGCCCTTGTCTAGCAGTCCGACTTGGTCCAGTCATGTACTGTAATTCACTGCGGAATGTGGGCCAAGCAAAAGCTAATGGTGTGGGCCAGAGCTGGTACAGAGAAATTTTGCTATGTGGGTGATTAGGGCAATGGGCTACAGATAGAACACTGTTGCCCATCATAATCGAAAAATAGCCAAGCAACATCGCTCAGCAAAATTGTCCAAAAAGCTGCCCTGTATATCATCAGCATAAGGCCATTACAACTTGTATTTAAGGCAGGGTAGGTGATTTGATTTAAGAACACTTTGTTTGTTTGTTATGCAGGTTGAAAGTCTGTCTTCACAGCTGGATAGCATTTGTTATGTTATGAGCCTGCTCTCTCTCAAATCCAGAGCCTGGTTTCTCTTGAGGATTTTTTTCCTTTACTTCATCAATTGGTGAACTTTGTTCCTCGCCACTGTTGACACTGGCTTGCTTGGTTTGGGACTTGTGGAGCTGCGCATCAATGGATTTGCTCTTCAGTGTTTGGACTTTCAGCAGTGAAATTTAGGCCACACTGAAATGAACTAAACTGAGCTTTAACTCTGAAACCTGGACTGACACAGTTTAATTTACTAGAACTTCTATGTGAATTGTACAAGCGCTATAGAAATAAAGATGAACTGAATAAAATTATGTGATCTAAATGTATTTGTTTATGTCATCTGTGGAAGGTGAAGAACAAAACTTTGTCCAATTAAAATGTTCATGTACACAATGAACAGCTGTGCTACCTGCCTGTCAAAATGTGGAGTGTGTCCGAAAGCTTAGGCTGCTTAGACTTATTGCCTTGCTGCACAATTAAACAGTGACTCTGGAGACTCTCAGACAGCATAACGATTTAATCATGCACAACAAAATAGAGAGAGCTTTGGTGATAACTAAGGGAATTTTTTCTTACTTCAATATGAACTTCTTACAAGAAATGCCATCAAGAGTGGAAAACTTTGGTCCAAATGTACATTCACACACAGATTTACACCCAAGGGGTGCTTCGAGATACCAGGTTTTTTTTCTTTCAAAACGAAAATGGAATCAGAAATGGAATGCACAGGATTGTGGGATAGCGAAGGACACATCTATACTGCATTAGTGTAAAACAGAATTTGGATTTGAACATGCGTTGATGACTTCCTACTTTGTAATATTGCCTCCAAAAAGTAGCATTTAAGAGCTTAGTATATTCCCATTATCCAAACTGATAAGGCATGTGCCCAGAGATGCAGATGAAAATGTCTTCCAAAAAGGCTCAGCTAAGAGCTCTTCAGCAGTACTGCAATTAGTCTCTATAGTCTTTGGTTTAACTCAGAGTTTAACATTCTCCAAATGCCAGTGCTGTTAAATAAAACCACTCAGCACCTCTTCACACTGCTGCCATTATAAAAATGCTCTCAATGAAAACAACAAAAAAAGGTGCCATTGGGCTGAATAATTTTCTTAGACTTGGCAACTGTGCAGATGGCTTTCTTGTCAATGATAGTTATTTATTGTCAACTTGGGGCTTAAGATGTGTTTTCAACAATCCAGTCACACATGGATAATACAAATGTAAACAGGGCTTGAAATGTTTTGAGCTTGTCCACTTTTGGCCAACAGCTAGCTCTCTGCTACTCTCACATGGTCGCCCACTAAAGCTAAGCAGGGCTGCGCCCAGTCAGTACCTGGATGGTAGCCCACATGGGAAAGCTAGGTTGCTGCCGGAAGTGGTGTTAGTCATACCAGCAGGGGGCGCTCAACCTGTGGTCTGTTTGGGTCTTAACACCCCAGTATATTGAAGGGGACTCTATTGCTCAGTGAGCAATGTTAAACCGAGGTCCTGACTCTCTGCGGTCATTACAAATCCAAGGATGTCTGTCGAAAAAGAGTAGGGGTTTAATCCTATCCAAATTTATCCACTGGCCACTGTCCATCATGACCTCCTAACCATCCTAATATCATATTTGGCTGCCGCACAATGGCAGGTGGATACAGCACACTGAAAAGAGTGCTTAAAGTGTCCGGAAAAGCGCTATATAAATGTAAGGAATAATAACAATAACTTTTGTCTACTGTAGCTGAAAACACAACAGATTTGATTGCTTTCGTATCGTGCATGCTCATGTGGTCACATTTGTTCAAAGACCACCTAGTCTTCTGCTGTCCTAAAATGTTCTTTGAAACTTTGTCTCCAACATCTACAAGATAATCATTATGCCAAGTACACACAAACAAGTAAAATATTGACTTGAATTACGCATAGAATAGCTAAATAGTACATAATAATACAAATCGAAAGTTTCAGTTTCCTTTATTTTTGTCATTCAAAACATCACAATAAAATTGTAATGCAGAATGAAATTACTTTGCAACAGACCAAAAAAGAACATAAAAAACATGATTAACAAGCTTTTAAAATTATATAAAAATATAAAAATTTAGTTATATAGAATATAACCTATTTAAAAAAATATCTGAAGAGAATAACTTACTTAAATTCCTATTTCACCCTTTGTTATAATAGTTGTAATATTAACAATTTATGCTAGTTTAACTATTTATTGATTTATTATTTCACACTAGCTATCAATAGTGTTTAAGAAATGGTATTATTCAAAAGTCTTATAAGGACAGGATAAAACTATCACGAAACCACACTGATTTGCTCCTAAGGCTACTGTAACGCCTGCCTGATGGCATGAGCATGAGCAGGCTATGGCCAGAGTTGCTTGGATCCCTTAAAATGCTATTTGCCCTAGACAGACAACATCGTTGATAGAGTTCCTCGGTAGGTAGTGATGGGATTTAACTGATTTGATAAACAGTTCATTATGAACATTTCTAATCCTAATGAATCGTTGCATTGTTATTTTTATTCTCTGAAATATTTGTACATTAAACACATCATTTAACAATGAATGAAGGGAAGGTGTAAATTCATAATGTGTATGAGTTAAGCTGTCAGGCTAATCGGGTATATGCTAATATTTAAGCTCCTTAGGCACTAAAGAAACGATTAAAAGTGGTATTCTAGGGTTTTTGTTCGGAAACCCAATTTTAAGGCATGACATGATTTTTTTTATGACAAACTGCTTTGTATTTTGATTTGTTTGGCACAATGTTTAGGGTGTAATATAGGTGAGTTTATTTAAACACCTTTTCATGGCTATATTTTTGGGATGACACAATAATTGTAAAAGTTACAACAATTAGAAGTGAAATGAGAAGAAAATCTCACCATGTCTGCAAGAGAGATGTAGAGGAACATTCCACCAGCAATGGCAAAGATAGCATTTGGAGCAAAATTACTGCCCAGCAGGATGCCCAGTGCCAGCCCGAGATAGCAGCACATCGCTGACAGCAAATTAAAAAACGCAGCCTGACCAACACTCATGCCAGAGTTCAACAGAATCACAAAATCACCTGCAGAGACAAAGAGAGACTTAGAATAACACGATCTGATAATATGATGCAGTGCCTGTGTCTCTGTGCCTGTGTTTTACCCAGCTCATGAGGGAACTCTTCACAGAAGATGGCGATGGAGGTGCTGAAGCCGCTGAGGAGAGACAGTGTGAAAGACGCTCCGATGGCCAGACCGTCTATGAAGTTATGCAAAGCATCACTGACGGTGATCATCCACGCCACAGTCTTTATATTAGACATCGCAGAACCCTTCAGCCAGCGACATGCAAATAACGCACACGCATTCTGTCCAAACATCACACAAAAGAGACACTGTCAGCGTTTTTGCAATTCACTTAAATGCATTTCCATTGTTTCATCCATGCAAAAATGTATTCGATTGGACATCTTTCAAGTGAAAACTTCAAAAAATGAGCGTTCACTATAGTCCCATATGTACACATTAAAAGCAACCATGCCTAAACATACAGTGTGTAAGATTTAGAACAATGATATATATTTTACTGTACTTTATGTACAGTGTAACACGTGGAGAGACAACTGAGTTTGGATCCAATTGCAGCGTTATTCGGATAGTCAAGCAAGCAATGGTCAATACGGGTGCAAACAGGTGTATAAAGGCAATCCAGAAACTAGTCAAAATAACAGGTGAGAGGTTGGAAGGCAGGTGGCAGACTGAGACAAAAGGATAAACAAGGCTAAGGTCAAAACACAGAAACACAAGACAAGAATAACGCGTTGTAATATTACAAGACTCAGCAATGTGAATGCGTGAGTGTGCTGCTTAAATAGTGTGTGCAATCAATCTTTGACAATCCTCAGGTGGTGGAGCGTAATCATTCTAAATGAGGAAGCATGTGTGAGTGTGAGCGGAGTGCATGCATGAAAATGTAGTCCAGAAATGGCAGATTTGTAGTCCATAAGTATTGTATGTGAGATCCAGCGATCTGAAGAGTTACGATCGCTGGTGATCGTGACATACAGTGCTTACGTTATCCCAAATGTTTCAAATAATGGTTGAAGAATACAGAGAAATAAGCTATTTTTTGCTGCCATGCTAATGACATCATAAATCCTCGATTTCCAGTTTGGTTTAATAGAATCAGGGTAACACCAACGATGCTTAAATATGTTGTGTGTTTTAATAGACTGCACAGAGCAGCATTATAACAGAAACTAAAATGTGATTAGTATAATAAAACAACTCTGCTTTTCCCCACATGGTCACGACTGGGAGATCGGTAAGCTGTTGACTGCTGCATAATAAAAGCTCAGCTGCTTTTGTGTTGCACTCATCTCTCATTACTTCAGCACTCTCATTTCAATTTGACAGATTTCAGCTTTATTCAGCTTCATACTAATATAATAACACATTTAAATACATTAGCTAATTTCTGCAAGAGTCGGGTAGGATGTAGTTAAGATGACACCTCCTATGATTCCACACTCAGTCAAGGTGTCATCAAACTATGACTTTGTTTGTTGTGTATACTGTGCTTTTAAAGGTTTTGACTCTTCTAAAGCATAAAAATACCATAATATGTTTGCAGATATTTAACCCTCTGCACGGTGTAAACATATGGCAACATGATATTTATGTTCATTTCCCTGCCACTGTTTATTTAAGACCGACATTATTTTCTCTTTGTTGGAAGGAGAAGACCTTAGTGTGGGCAATTATGTGCTTTGGTTAAGTCACATGACATGCTGTGTTTTTTGTAGCGCGATTTCTGACAAACTGGCGTTTATTGTGAGTAGTTGTTAAATGCAAATGTAAACGTCAATAAAAACAAAGGATCAAATTATGTCAGATCAACAAAAAAATCTGAAACATCACCTCCAGTAAGTTATGATGACGTATTCACACCTCAATTTTTTTAATCAAATTAGTTTTTTGTAAATTGATCAAATGTGTGTGTTGCCAAATGGCAACACTGTGCAATAGTGGAACATGCAATATTGCAATGGGTCAGCCAATAGCAAGGTCAGCTGTAAACTTTTAAGTTGTAACAATAACAACATGAATGCTAGTAATATAATGCTGATTAGTCATGTGTTAATGGCATTTGAATTATGGATAAAGTCTATTTTTAATGGCAAAACTACTTTTGAATAGATATGAATACAGGGAACAGTGAGTGTATTAGCGAGCACCACCATGTTCTATGGCAGTGGTGGCCAACCCTGTTCCTGGAGAGCCACCTTCCTGCAGATTTCAGTTGCTACCCATAGCAAACACACCTGAACCAATTAATTAGGACCTGAACACCACGTGATAATTACAGGCAGGTGCGTTTGATATGGTTTGCAACTGAAATCTGCAGAAAGGTGGCACTCCAGGAACAGGGTTGGCCACCCCTGTTCTATGGTAAGTTAAAGAAGAAAAGGACAGAACTGGCTCATCCTGGAGATGAAAGTGAGGGTGAGATGGGTTTTAGTGACCATGAGAATGATGCAGATTAGACATTTGATAGAGACAGTTCAGGTAAGTAGCTTAGAGCTAAATAAAACAGTTGTAGTATAGTATATAGTATAATATATAAATATTGTTAGCGTGTAGCTACATGATTCTGATGCATCTGGATATATTAGACTTGTAATTTATTTGTTATAATATTTACTGGAGAAAATATTTATATTTACTGTATTTTGGATACATGAAAATACAATATTATGTTTGTTTTTAATAATATTCAGCAAAAAATAATGGAATGAATGAATGTTGTTGGAATACGAGTTGTTGGTAAGTATGTATAAAGTTTAATTTATAAGTTCTGTGTTAAAGCTTATGATACTGCAAGACCAATTAAATCAGGGATCACTAATCTCGGTCCTGATGGGCCGGAGTCCCTACAGGGTTTAGCTCTATCTTGCCTCAATACACCTGCCAGGATGTTTCAAGAATACCTAGTAAGACCTTGATTAGCTTGTTCAGGTGTGTTTGATTTGGGTTGGAGCAAAAATCTGCAGGACACCAGCCCTGTTTAGTGACCACTGAATTAAATCATTTCAAACAACAAAATTATTAGTTATAAGGAAAGTTTTAAATTTGAAATTTCTAAGTTGGATCCACTGTTGGACGATGTTGCCATCTGGCAACATTTGATAAAGTACCTTAAAAAAATAAAAAATTAATTTTTTTACAGCACTTTAAGTGAAGCCATTTTAAGAAAAGAAAAACAGTCAAATATTTTTTTTAAAGATTTATCATAATGCGTGCAGTAGAGGGTTAAGAAACAAGCCAAGTGGACATACTTGTTTATCTCAAAAACAATGGTGAAAGTCAGGTTTTCTGGTATTCTGCTATGAAAATATGCATCACATGCTGGAACATTTGTCTTTGTTTTGGTCATTTAATCCGCCCAATACCAGTTTAGCCAATTATATTTCAGCACCCTCGGTTGCCTTTGTGGAAAACTTATAGTTATCGAGATTCTATTGAACCAAGCAAGATGTCACAATGAGATGTTTTTGGCAAGATGGCGGAAATGCTTAACAGAGAGCATTTTCACCAAATGTTTTTATTAGTTTTCTTTATTAGGTTTTTTGGATATATTTTGTTGTATAGTCTGGTGTATCCTGGAATATATTTTTTTCTTTATTATAATTTGTGATGTAATATTATGGTTTATTTTTTTGGAATTTGACTTGAAATATCAAAGCTGTATATATGAATGTCTATACATGTATTAATATGTATTTATGTATATGTGTATATGAATGATTGTGTATGTTTACATATGCATGTATGTATAGGTGGACTTATATGCGAGAAGATATCATGTGATCCGGAAGTGTAAAAAAATGAGCACCTAATTGTGATGAACATTGTCTGACGAAGAGCTGTGTGGCTCGAAACGTTACATTTTGTGTCAGCCTTTTTAACTTAATAAATTTGTATTTTTGGAGCCTTGGTGTTGCCGCCTTTGATTAACATTTACTAGTTTTCTCCAAATGTATCTACAACCAATTTATTTGATAATTTAATGTGTTTATTCATTTAGCAACTTCACCATGCAACTTGCTGACTTCTTTTTTCTTTTTGTTGTGACAGTTGCTCCCTGTGGTTGCAAACATAGTACAATATTGAACATGTCAAGTAAGAAAGCCTCTGCAAGTCGAGGCAGTATGTTAATAACTGTGATGGTTGGGTTTGGGTTTGGGGAAGGTGTAGACATTAATAACTGTGATGGTTGAGTTTGGGGTTTGGGAAGGTGTAAACATTAATAATTGTGATGGTTGGGTTTAGGTTTGGGGAAGGTGTAGACATTAATAACTGTGATGGTTGGGTTTGGGGTTCGGGAAGGTGTAGACAATAATAACTTTGATGGTTGGGTTTAGGTTTGGGGAAGGTGTAGACAATAATAACTGTAATGGTTGGGTTTAGGTTTGGGGAAGGTGTAGACATTAATAACTGTGATGGTTGGGTTTAGGTTTGGGGAAGGTGTAGACAATAATAACTGTGATGGTTGGGTTTAGGTTTGGGGAAGGTGTAGAAATTAATAACTGTGATGGTTGGGTTTGGGTTTGGGGAAGGTGTAGACAATAATAACTGTGATGGTTGGGTTTGGGTTTGGGGAAGGTGTAGACAATAATAACTGTGATGGTTGGGTTTAGGTTTGGGGAAGGTGTAGAAATTAATAACTGTGATGGTTGGGTTTAGGTTTGGGGAAGGTGTAGACAATATTAACTATGATGGTTGGGTTTAGGTTTAGGGAAGGTGTAGACATTAATAATTGTGATGGTTGGGTTTAGGTTTGGGGAAGGTGTAGACATTAATAACTGTGATAGTTGGGTTTAGGTTTGGGGAAGGTGTAGACATTAATAACTGTGATGGTTGGGTTTAGGTTTAGGGAAGGTGTAGACATTAATAAATGTGATGGTTGGGTTTAGGTTTGGGGAAGGTGTAGACATTAATAACTGTGATAGTTGGGTTTAGGTTTGGGGAAGGTGTAGACATTAATAACTGTGATGGTTGGGTTTAGGTTTAGGGAAGGTGTAGACATTAATAACTGTGATAGTTGGGTTTAGGTTTGGGGAAGGTGTAGACATTAATAACTGTGATGGTTGGGTTTGGGTTTGGGGAAGGTGTAGACATTATTAACTATGATGGTTGGGTTTAGGTTTGGGGAAGGTGTAGACATTATTAACTATGATGGTTGGGTTTAGGTTTGGGGAAGGTGTAGACATTAATAACTGTGATGGTTGGGTTTGGGGTTTGGGAAGGTGTAAACATTAATAACTGTGATGGTTGGGTTTAGGTTTGGGGAAGGTGTGAAATTAAT